CTTATCAAGCATTTTTGCCTCCTCCTTTGTTTCCCCTTCCCATCCCTTCCCATCCTCCCCTCGCCCCTCCACCCAATCTTCCCCGCCGTCCCCCACCCCCACGCCGTTATATGTTATAGACCGTGATAGACAATTTGCTCCAGGAAAGTTAGAATGAGTTTGTGACTTTAAATGAGCATCACTATCCCACAATACTGTAAAATTTGGGAAATTATGTAATCACTTAATCACAATTAAAAAAAAAAAAAAACACCAGAAAACTAGAAGTGGCGCTATGGCTCAAGTGGTAGAACATGAGCCTTGAGCTGAATTGCTCAGGGACAGCTCCCAGATCTAGAGCTCAAGCCCCACGACTGACAAAAAAAAAAAAGAGAAATCATTCATGCGATTGTTTCTAATATATTTATAAGATTATGTCTTTGTTGCTTTGTATGTCCCTCCCCCGTGGTATAACCCCTGCTTTCACTGTATTTGATGTTGTTATATGTGGAGGGGAAGGGAAAAAACAAATCGTTAAAACAGGATACAAGAAGACCCATTGCAACAATAAGATGTACAAGTCATTATGTTGAAAAACGAACTTTACAACTTTGGTAGGGGGTCGGGGCCGGGGGGGAGGATGCGAAGAGATGGGAAGGGGAAACAAAGGAGGAGGCTACAATGCTTGATAAGAAATGTACTCATTATCTTGCCCATTAATTGTAACCCCTCTGTACGGTATTTTCACAATAAAAAAATATGTTTATAAAAAAAATTTTTTTAATGGGTCTAACTGGACGGAACTGTGGCTGGAGCTCCTCAGCTTCTTAATTCGAAGTCTGCATCAGTATTGAGGGGGTCTCTGCACAAGCAGAGCACTGAGACAGCCCTTGGCCTTGGCCTTGGTCAGTGAGCAGCACACCGACGAAAAGGAGAGAGGAACTTGAGCCTCCATGCTCTTGGAGACCCAGCAAAGCTGTAGGGATATGTGGCCAATGATGACATGGCTCATTCTTGCCCCTGTACTTCCAGACACCTGCTAGCTCCCTGGATGTCCTCTGCTCTGCCCCTGGCAGTGCTGTCACCACCCAGCTGGGTCCCTATGCCTTCAAGATCCCTCTGTCCATCCGCCAGAAGATCTGCAGCAGCCTTGATGCCCCCAGCTCACGGGGCAATGACTGGAGGCTGTTGGCACAGAAGCTGTCTGTGGACCGGTGAGTGTCCCGAACCACATTCCAGCCTCCTTCATCCTCAAGGTGGGCAGGCAGGGATCCTATCAATCCAGAACCAACTCTTAGCTTGGCTATGCAAGGGCCACCATTCCTGGCAGATCAGGGGCTGGTTTCTGTGCGTTGGGTCTGAGAACTCATTTATGGATGTCAGGCTCAGTCCTGGCCTGTGGATCAGGTAGGCTCTAGAAATAGGTGGGGCTTCAAAGATGGCTGAGCTGAGTTCCTACTGTAGGGGAGTTAGCAAGACATGGAAGACTAGGAAAAAGTGTGGCATGCTGGGCACCAACTTGGCAACCAATGCCAACCTGGCACCAATTCCAGTGATAATTATAGCAATGATAAGAAAATAAGAGAGACTGCTAGGCCCTGGCTTTATATGATCTTGGTTTTTATCTGCTAAATTTTTCATTGCTATGATGAATACCCAAGACAAAGTTTAAAGGAAGAAGGGCTTATTTTGGCTCACGATTTCGGAGGCTTTAGTCCATGGTTGGCTGGTTCCATTGCTGTGGGTCCAAGCTGCTTGCTTGTGGCTAGGAGCCTGTGTGGAGCTAAGCTGTTCACCTTATGGCAGACAGGAAGCAGAGAGTATAGACAGGAAAGGGCCAGGGCAAGGCCCCTGTAATCACATATAATCCCTGTAAGTGATCCACTTCCTCCAAGCCCCACTTTCCACAGTTCCACCACCTCCTAATAGTCCCCATCCATGGGGACTTGATCCATGGGTAAAGTAGCAAAGTGTCATGATGCAGTCACTCTTCTAAAAGTCCCACCTTGGAACACAGCTTGCATCAGAGACCAAACCTCCAATTGTAAACCTTTGGGAAAGAAGTGGGGCAGATACTTTATATCTATAAACAGTAACAGGAGGTAACTGAGGCTCAGAGAAGTATATTGACTTACTAGGACTACACAGCCTACAAGCAGAGATGGTGGAATTCAGACCCTGGACTCTGAGCTGCTGGGAGTGCACAGTAGACCCACTCTGTTTCCACCTTTACCCTCCCTTTCTAGGTTCCTGGGAGGTGCTGAATGCATCAGAGGAACCAATTCCCTTCTCCTTCCTTCCCCAGGTACCTGAACTACTTTGCCACCAAAGCAAGCCCCACTGGTGTGATCCTGGACCTCTGGGAAGCTTTGCAGCAGGATGACGGGGACCTCAACAGCCTGGCCTGTGCCTTGGAGGAGATGGGCAAAAGCGAGATGCTGGTGGCCATGGCCACAGATGGAGACTGTTGAGCACCTGCAACAGAGGTGCTTGGAAGAGACAGACAGGAGGTGGTGCAGGGAGGCCAAGAAAGTCTCCCCATGGGGGTGTCCAACTCTTCTGTCCTCTAGCTGACAGTTGGAGTTGCCCCTCACTTCCTCCTCCACCCCTTCCCCCTGCCTCAACCCTCAGACCACAACCAGCCTTAGCAAACCTATGTGTTCTGTTGTTGAGAGGCCTGCTGTCCCCTGGTTGGCACTGGGGAGAGGCTGAGGTCCCTGGAGCCAGTTCAGGACCAGGAGGGTGGTCTCCCTCCATGCCTGCTTCTGACCCTCCCCGCACCCTGCCCTCAGCCCTGCAACTTCTGTCGTCCTGGGAGAGGGGGATGGTTCTGTGCTCACTTCCTCTTCCATTGTGGACCCCCACTCCCCACTCCTTCAGCTTTTATACCCCTTCCCTCAATTGAAGAGTCAAGTACAAGTCAGACAACTGCTTCTCCAGTCCACAAGCAAAAAAAGGAAGAAGAAAGAGGAAGGAAGGAAGGAAGGAAGGAAGGAAGGAAGAAAGGAAGGAAGGAAGGAAGGAAGGGAGCTTCAGACACTAGTGAGGTTCAGACAACACCAAAACCATAAGGGAAAAAAACCCAGTTTCTTAGGAAACGCAAATGATTTATTATCCAGATATTTGGATAAGTCCTTTTTAAGAAAAAGAAGAAAAAAAAGAAAATGAAAAACAACAACAAAAAAGAAAACATTTTTCTTGAGTATGAGTGAATGTGCTTGGGGTTCAGGGTATGTGTTATGTGTGTGTGTGTGTGTGAGAGAGAGAGAGAGAGAGAGAGAGAGAGAAAGGAATTCTTTGCTGCTAATGGCTAATAATCTCCCAGAAATCCAGAAACTGCCCTGCCCCATTTCTCCTATCCAAGGACCTGCATGCCCCTCCCTGGGGTGGGCCTCAGAGGGCCTTAGCAACCAGCTTTGTAGCATGTATGCTCCGATATGGAGCCAGAGATGGAGCAGTGTTTCTATCTGATGTGCTCGGGCCTCTCCGTCAGCCCTCAGTAGTTCATCTTCCTTCTGTGGTCTGGGAGGTTTGAAGGGGCTTTTCTGTGTGTGTGGAGGAACAGCACTCACTGTCACCCAGCGTGTCCTGGGGTGAAAGAACAAGATGAATCCTATCTTTTGAGCTGGCTGGGGGTGGCTGGGGCCAGAATCCCACTGTAGGCACCGGGACCTCCTTAAAGGGTGCAAGGGCAAATGTCAGATTTCTTCTAGCTCAAGGTGCTGACTCCTGGCTTGTCGGGCAAGCCCTGACCAGCCAGGACATATCCTGACGTTTGAAAGTCTGGTCTCCTGATGTGGGTAAAAGTTTTAGGGCTGTAGACACAGCCACCATTTCCTGCTGTGGCCTCGGGCTCCTGGGGCTTTTCACTAGCCACTGTGGCCTGCGGTGGGGTTGGCTAGGCAGGTAAGGCCCCTCCTGGACAATGGAGAGGTTCCTTCCACTTGGGCTGCTGAGTTGCCTGCAAAAAGCCAACAGTCCTCTGTGGGCTCAGCCCAGCTGGCCACTGGTAGCACAACTGTAGGAGAGAAGTTCTATCTGACTATGGGGAAGCCTGGCCATGCTGGAACAGGCCTTTGTGGCAGTGGGCTTTGCTGGCCCACCTCCATCACAAGCTCGAAAATGCCTACTTGCAGCCTGGGATCCAAAGACAAGGAACTGAGTTCTAGCTGTGCCAACACACTGCCTTGTGATCTCAGCCTTATCACTGCCTTCTCTGGGCCACCATGTCTTTTCTATGTCTGCCACGCTGTACCATCCTATGTCCACCCTCAAGCATATCTGACTGTGCTCAGGACAGGACAGTTTCCAATGTAACTTCCAGAAACTCAGGACCTGAGCAGAGAGCCACTGGACTGGAGTCCTAGGGGGAGGGGAACACCCAGCTTGATAAGAAGAGCATTTGCTAATCCCATCACCCAGGCTGCAAGGGACCGCACCTCAGTGTCCTGAGTGGATAGAAGTCCCTTGTATCATCTGGGGAGCAGCAGCCATTTTTTGGCCAGTAGCAGCAAAGGTGCCATGAAACTGCTCTGTGTGTGTGTGTTTTGTGCCATGAGACTGTGTGTGTGTGTGTGTGTGTGTGTGTTTTGCCTCATGTACACCTGTGCTTTCCTCCTTGGGCATGTGTCCCCATCTGGGTGTGGGGGTGTAGACTCCTCGGTGCCAGGTTTGCACACCTGCCCTCCCTGAGGCCACAGGGTCAGTCAGTGTATCTCCTACGTGCCTCTCCTGCCTTCTCTTGGTGCCCAGGCTTTGGAACCCCAGCCCTGCCTGGAACAGCCAAGGACATGGGGCTCCTCATCCCTGCACAGTCCGGGGTCCTCTGGTCCCTGTCCCCCAGCTCCCAGGCAGCTGAGCCAGGCTCTGTGGGGTCAGGTGCTGGGGAGCTGGGCCATGCATATGATTATATGTCCAGGGGCTACAGAACTCTAGAGATGGCCTCAAGCCCACCTCTGTTCATTCTGTAAACTACAACCTGTAAATACCATTTAGCATTCCTATTGTAACAAGATTAATTTTTATGAAATAAATTATATTTCCTAGTCTAATAAAAAAATTCCAGGTTGTAGCCTGTTGTCTTGGCTCATAATGGCCATTGAGAATGACTGTTCTGCATACTCCAGGTGCCTGGGCATCACTCATTCAGTGGTACAGCCTCACTCCACAAAAAGGAAAAGCAGCCCAGAGAGGAAGACAGATTTCCTTGTAGTCATATAACAAGGGAAGGGCTAGGCTGAGTCTGGATCTGCTCATTAACCAGTGCTCTCCCGGCATGAGTGTGTATGCAATTGAATCCTGTGTTCAGGAGGCCAGCCTGCCAGCCTCCGAGGTAGGAGGGTGTGTCCCATAGGAGCTGAGGCTGGGGGAGGGGAGGGGTCTTCCAGAACCCTCTTCTAGGCCGTGAGAATGTCATGTAGGCATAGAGGAACAATGAACCAGGTCTACCAGGCATGGTTGTGCAGGTTTCCTGCTGAGCAATTACATGCAAGGAGGAGGGTGGCAACATTCCCATGGGTATCATAGACATGTATTCACTATGAGCTGTTTCCAGCAGGCAGTAATAAATAGTCTTGTTCTAATTAACAGCAATATTGCTGATAATTTTCCCACAGATGCAAGTATCTAGGGGTGGGGTGTGTCTAATAGGACTGTGCCTATTAAACAAGAAGGTACTGTATAACCTGAAGTAACCCCTTCTGCCTTATGGTCCCCTCTACTCTGTGGACCTTGGGCCTCCTAGTATATAGTCTGAGTGAACTATATCTCCCAGCATGCATTGCTGGGATACGCCTCCCAGGATGAACTGAGTGTGGATTACATCTTGCCTGCTGAGAGTTTTGGTTGCCAGTAAGCTTGCTGGCAACTCCCTCTTAAGGAAGGCCACATTAATTGGAGTGCCTGAAGAAATCTGTGGTGCTAGCAGCCCTGCCAGTTCTGACTTCCTGGGACCTAGAGTAGCTATCACCCAAGCCATCCTCTGGGGATACAGGCTGGACAGGAAGGCAGCTGTCTTGCCAGGGGTGCTTCAGTGGTCCCTAGTCCTATTCAGAGGTGTGTATAATTTGATGACCCTAACTTAGATTGGGGACAGTGTGAAGAGGGAGCACTTTGAGTCCTTGCTATTCCAGCAGCCCTGAGAAGCTGTTCACCCATAGCATCATTATGGGTGGCCTGAATGTCTGCCTATTCCAAGAAATTTCCCCAAAAGAGGGCCTGTGGTCCCTGGAAATCCACCAGTATTTATTGACTTGACTCAGTGATAGCATTTTGGGGTGGGGTAGCTGGAGCAGGCTGGATTTAGCGCTGAGCAGCTAAGGTGAAATAAAAACTGAGATCCCACTGTGACCTATCAGGACAAATGGCTGCCAACAGAGACAGCAGAAAAGGAGGGCCTTTCAACCACCCAGAAAGATGGCAGCCTTTATGCAGGTGTGCAGGCAGTATAAAGAGTGCAGCACCATCACAAGTACAGAGCCTCAAAGTCCAGTGTTAGATCAATGGCTGGTAGAGTCTGAGAGTGCATAGGTGTGCTCCCTATGGTGGAGTTGGCCTACAAAAGCTGGGACTCAGAATTTTTTCCATAGGTTAAAGATCAAAACGAAAGTCTCACAGCTCCAGGCTGCTGGTGACATGAGCAAGAAAAGCAGCTTCAGCATCCAATACAGAAGTGTGCCTCAAGTCTCAGCCTGTATTGACTCCCACAGCTCTTAGCAACTGGGGCCTCCACTTTAAGGAAATTTCACAAGGTTCCACTTGCCATAAGGCACTGGTTTTCATTTACAATATCTGACATTCAGTCAAAACTTACTAGATATGTCAACATTATTTTGATTCTTCAAAATAATAATAATAGTGAAAATGGAAAGGTGAATCTGTAAGAGTTTTTGCTTTGTTTTTATTTAATTTTATTTTATTTGTGAACATACTGTACAGAGGGGTTACAATTACATGGGCAGGATAATGCGTACATTTCTTACCAAGCATTGCAGCCTCCTAAGAGTTTTTGTTTTGTTTTGTACCAGGCATTTGGATAATCTGTGAGTTTTAAAATAATGTAGTATTAAATTGTATGACAACAGTAAAACAAGGTGGAGCAGAACGTATGGAACTGAACTGTTTGCAGCTGCCTCGGAGAGTGGGGAATCTGTAATTGATATTAGAGTCTGGTTGACCATGTATGGGAAAATTAGAATCTCTAGCGAATGTTAAGCATATTAATGTGAGAAATTAATGTTTTAAATTGATCAACCAAAAGCAATGAAAAAAGAGGGAAAAAAGGAACATGGGCCAACTGTGTTAATAGAGGAACAAGCAGTAGAGTTTATTCCATCATATCTACCAATAATTATATTGTTTAAATAGACAAAAGATTCCAAGTAAAATGGATTTTTAATTTAAAAGAAAACATGTATATGCCATTTACAAGAAACACACCTTACATATAGGGATATTTGATGAAGTTAAAGAACATAAAATGGTAGATTAAGGCCAAGTGTGGGTGGGTGCTAGTAGCTTATGCCTGTAATCCTAGCTACTCAGGATGCTGAGAACTGAGTATCACAGTTCAAAGCCAGCTCAGGCAGAAAAATCTCTCATCTCCAATTAATCAACAAAAAGTTGCAAGTGGGGCTGTGGTTTAAGTGAAAGAGCACTAGCCTTGTGCACAAAAGCTCAAGGACAGTGCCTAGGCCCTGAGTTCATGCCCTAGAATTGGCACCAAAAAATAAGAAAAGAATTGGTAATGAGAAAGAAGAGTTATGAAAGAGATGTATGTCCCAGGATAAATGTTCCTTTGGAACCTTGAAAAGAAAGACCCTAGCCAGGGAGCACAGCCGTGAACATGTGCAATGACTGGATTTGGCCACAAGATGGCACCATACACTTTGTTTTTTGAAAAGTACAAATTATCCTTTTGGGATTTTCCTAAATAGAGGTTGATTATAAAATGTCAACCTCTAGAAAGTGCCAGGAAGACTTAAAGGCCTCCTTCTTTCTTCTGGACTTCCTTACCTTCATCATTCTACCTCCTCTTCCTCCTCTTCTTTCCAGTGTGTTTAAACACTTAACCATTTACAGATGGGTGCCCTCCCCCTGACAGTGCCAGCTGCCTGTGGTGACTGTCATCCCCACTGCTCAACTACGATGTCCTTTCTATCCCAAAGACAGAGTGAGGGACCCCAAGGCATATGAATGCAGCCACTTTACTCCGTGGCGCTGATGGAGGTCAGGGCAGCCTATCTTAAACCGGGACTGCAGGATGCCAGAACATGCAACCCCCCACCCCAAAGCTCCCCTTTGGCATAAGAGATTGGTGAAAAACAGAAGATACAGGAAAGGCTTGGAAACGAGATGTTGTCCTTTGTAAAGAAACTTTTTATCTGTAAAAGAAATCTTCCTTTGTAAGGAGTCTGTCCTCTGACATAAGGGCCCAAAGGGGCCCAATAGAAGGGGCCATTGAAATATAACCAACAAACCTGGCCTTTCCTGGTCCTATGACAGGCTTCCCCCACACTCCGTGTGTGTGTGTGTGTGTGTGTGTGTGTGTGTGTGTGTGTGTAGGCGCGCGCGTGCGTTTCCCAGCTCTTGTCTGACCCACATTTCCCTGAGTCCATCTGTGCTTTTCCTTAGTTTCTAACCACCACACAGCATGCTTTTCCACAACGGCTTCATCCCGTGCCTTGCCACACAATACCATCAGCTCAGAGAGACTCACACTTTCCTCCTTTGGAACATCGTTACGAGCTGTGTCTAAGTCTCCCCTTGCAATTCCTAGGACCCCCGATAAAGTCTTTTATCCTTCTGCAGGTCGAGTATGGAGTGAGCCCATGCTCCTGCGAGCTGGGATCCACAGGGGGGCGGGGGGAGGCTGGGCTCGTTGGTTGCCACTAACGGTGCCTCAAGCTGAGTCTCCCTCCACCTTAGCCTGAAAATGGATCCTGCCCTGACTTGTGGGGGCGGGAATCAAGGAGGGATGGGGCTGCAGGTCGATGGCGCTGTCTAGCCGGTCTTGAGAAGGGAGGGGAGGGGAGTTTTCCTAGGCCTCGCGGCACAGTGGCGGCTGAGATCGGAGTCGGGAGAGAGGGCGGGTCACTGCACCTGTGAGAAGAGCGCTTGCAGTTCCGGGTATCCCCAGGAGGGGGCGCCCTCGAGCACGCGGGGGAGAAGACCAAAGCGGAGAACCCGGAAGCGCTAGCGGGGGGGCGGGGCGGGGCGGGGCGGGCCCGGCCTGCGTTCTCCCCGCCCCCATCCGCCCCTTTAGCCCCAGTCGGGGAGGCCCGGAGGCGGCGGTGGTAGCTCGGCGGCGACAGTAAGTGCGGGCCGGGGCGGGCAGCGGCCGGGCCTGGCGGAAGACCAGCTCTCCCGGCCTCCCCGGAGCCTCTCGCCGTTCCCCTCCCGCGTCCCGCCTCTCTTTCCCGGCGGGCCTCCCGCTTTCTTCCTGGGCTCCACTTTCTCTGGGCAGATTCCCGCCGTCCTGCTCTTCCTGGCCCTCCTCTCCCCTCTCCCCTCCCCCGTTCTTCCTCTCCCTTTCCCCTTCCTCCTCTTTCCCCCTACCTCTCCTCGCCCACTGGAGGGGGAGGCCTTGGTGTAGACAGCGCTTCCTCCCCCATCCAGCCAGCGCAGGGGTGTCGTCTAAACTGGGGAGGGGCGTCTGTGGCTGGGGAGTGCACTGCCGCACCCCTTAGCTTTGAAGCCCCCAGACCACTCCCTCCCATGTTCCCCTGAGGACACTGGGACACCCAGGACCGTAGGGCACTTCCTGGGAGGCCCCCAAGGGGGTCTGCAGCACCTCTAATCCTAGGTCTGCCCTGCTGTGGAAGGTCGCCCCGCTCTCTGAGCCCTCAGGTAGGGGCGGGCCCGGCTGCCTCTTCTCTTTTCTTCGTCTTTCTGTTTTAATCCGAAGCTAACAGCCAGCTTTGATAAAGAGTAATAAGACTTGGCTCACTCCAGTGCCCTGGCCTGTGACCCGGGTTGAAGGAGATTCCTGTCGCTTTCAGAAGTTTGGTCAAGGCTGACCGGTCTTCAGCAAATTGGTGGAGGAACGGGATGGGCCCTCGCCCCCGCCCCCACCAGGGAGCCAGGACATCTGGGAACCCTCACTTGCTAGTGCTGTGGTGTCCTCTACGGATCGATTGTTTTTTACCCATTTTTAGCTCCAGTTTGAAGTATGGGGGCGTGGACTGCTTAGGTGGTTAAAGCTGTTCTCCGTGCTAATCAAGACTGAGAGACAGGCCAAGTGTCTGACTCTAATCCTAGCTACTTAGGGACTGAGGATCCAGCCCCAACAGGAAAGTCTGTGAGACTCCATCTCTAACCAGCAAAAAACTAGAAGTGGATCTGTGGCTCAAGCGGAAGAGCATTAGCCTTAAGAGAAAAACCTAAGGGACAGAGCCCCTGAGTTTAAGCCCCAGTGCAGGCAAAACAAAAGGAAAAAGAAAAAGACTGGGGAGGGGCCTGTTAGCTAGGGAGTTTAAAATAGACTTGCTGATGGGATGTTCTGGGGGACAGGTTAGTCAGGGACATGGGGGGGGGCAATCTTCTGGATGGACAGAGCCCATTCATTCAGCAAGTATTGATGAGGGTGCTGTACACTGTCTTTGCCTGGGCTCACAGTTCCCTGGCTGCCAAGCCTGGAAGAAGGAGGGCCTGTCTGCCCTTGGCACCAGCAGACAGTGGATGAGGCTAGTGTGAGCCCCAAACTGCTTAGCCATGCAACTCCTGTTGTCTTCTGATAGCCATGTGACCTTGGGCAAGTGACTCAGCCTTTCCAAGCCTTGGACCACTCCTCTGTGAAGTCGATTGTAGAGTAACTACCTAGCACGGTATGTTGCTGTCAAGTTTAGATGCAAAGGCATGAACACAGCTTGCATGAGCACAGGACTTGGTTCAAGCTACTGAATGAGAATCTTTGCTTGGATCTGCCACCAAAGCCTCAGTCTTCCCATCTACAGGAGGGAGCAGTAGTTCCTGCCTTGCTTAATTACAAGGAATGTGCTTGTTCTCAGATTTTGCACCCAGGGTCCCTCAAGGCAGGTCAAGGCCTCATACTCCCTGTGCTGAGTCAGGCTTCACTGCCTGTTTGATCATTTACTTGTTGGGAGGAAGCTGCTGAGGAAGGACTCCACATCCCCATAGTTCTCAGTTAAACAGCCACTGCATGTGATGCCATCTAGAACATAGAGGTAGATTGGCAGCTTACAGCCAGCCAGCTGACAAGTCCAACCAGTTGTGGCCGGGCATCATGTTGTATAGCCCCACCTCTCTGCATTATAGATAGGGAAATAGAGGCTCAGAAGCAGCTTAACTTGCCCATAGCTGTTTGGGCAATAGTTATTAGTAGCCTAGAATTTTCCAGGCCCTAGGTACCACCACAAATTGGCCATACCCAGGTGGGACCTGGTGGACAGATGGGGTCCCCAGGCAGGAGCTGTAAACCTTGGCCTAGCCAATTACCTACCTGTGACCTGCACATTGATCTGTCTTTTCACAAATGAATGGATTGGCTTACTAGAAGCAGCTCTAGGCACCTTGGATTTATATCAATTTTTTTTAAATTTGAAAGCCTTATTTTTTATTTTTGAGCAGGTAATAAACCCATATAATTCAAAATTCAAAAGGCTCAAAGCCAGTAAGTAAGCCATGAAGTTCCTGTCCCCCCACTCCTTGACCATGTCCTACTCTAGAGACTATCACTGTTAAACCTTTCCTTTTTTTCTGGCAATACTGGGGTTTGACCACTTCAGTGGCACTTTGTGTTAGGAAGGCAGGTACTCTAACACTTGAGCCACACTAGTCCTAAATTTTCTATATTCTTCCTAAGACCCCTCTTGCACATACAAGTTCATATATGTATGTGTATTCTCTCCTGCATATACCTTCACAAATAGTACATTGTATACTCTTTTTTCCATAAGAAAGGAAGAGAGTTTGGAGACTGTTTTTTGGTCAACCAGGGTCTTAATTCCTGTTTTGATGGCTGCATAGGAACATGAAAGCCCTTAGACCAGGTGTACCTTTTTGGATTGCTTACCACAGGCCCCACCATGCTGCAGTGTTTAACACCCAGCCTGCTTGGTGGCTACCTGTGTGGTCCTTGCATGGTTAAGTGACCTCTGAGGCCACTCAGAATTCTGATTGCCTGTCCTGCCTAAAGTCTGACACTTAAACCTACAGCTCTCCAATTAGGCTCTGGAGAATACATATGTAAGACCCACATTGGGTACAGTTGTTTTGTAGGATAGGTAAGTCTCCATCTGTCCCCATCCTGAGTCTTTCTGCATCTCTCCCTGTTTCCACAGTGGCTGTGGGCTCCGAGGACACCATGTATCATACTTCCAACTCCACATACAGACTAGCAAGCGGCTCCATCCAAGCCAGCCAGGACACTCTGCCAGAGAAGCTGCTGGACCACCATACCCCTGGCCTGCCCAGGCCTGAGGACCACTTCAATGGTACCTACTTGATCTTCTTCAGCCTGGGCATTGGAAGCCTTCTGCCATGGAACTTCTTTATCACTGCCAAGGAGTACTGGGCATTCAAGTTCCGCAACTCTTCCAGCCTCACCTCAGGGAAGGACCTTGAGGATTCAGACATCCTGGTAAGAATGTGCTTCACCTGTGGGGTGGGGCACCTTCCAGGGAGGTCAGGGGCATGCAGAGAATACGTGGGTTGGGAGCCATTTGGGCACATTAGAAAGAATTCTGTTTGGTCCTAGACATGCATTGTGTGCTGAAGCCTCTGGCCTCCCATGGCAGAGAAAGATAGAGATGGAGAGATATAATTCCTGCCTTCAGATTGCATGCTCTTTAGTGAGGATGGACCCAAGAATGCAGATCCCTGTTTCCAGCAGTGTCAAATAGCCCTAAGTTCGGTGTGAGTTACAAATAATTCCAAGAATAGCAGTTAAAACAAAGTAGAAGGTCATTTTTTTCTCAAGAGACAGATGGTGAGCCTAAGACTTGTATGACACTCCACAGTACCGGGAGCCCATGTGTCAATCTCATGTTCAAGGTTACCTCAGAGTTCAAGATGGTTAATGGAGATGGGCAAGTGGCTTGCATGTGTACTTCTAGCCAGTTAGGAGGCTGAGACCTGGAGTATTGAGACTCAAAGCCAGCCTGGACAGAAACATCTGTGAGACTCAAAATCACAAGTAAAGGGGCTGAGAAGGTGGCTCAGTGGTAGAGTGCTTCCCTTGCAGGCCTGAGGCCCTTGGTTCGATTCCTCAGCACCACATAGGCAAAAAGAAAAAAGCCAGAAGTGGTGCTGTGGCTCAAGTGGTAGAGTGCTAGCCTTGAGCTGAAGAGCTGAGGGACAGCGCCCAGGCCCAGAGTTCAGGCCCCACGACCGGACCCCCCCCCCAAAAAAAAAAAATCACCAGTAAAAAGCAGGGCTGGAGGTGTGGCTTAAGTGGTAGAATGCCAGCTGAGCAAGCACAAAAGCTCTTAGTTCAACCCCTGGTACTAGTCACAATAAATAAAATTTAAAACATTGCTGTTGGGGCTGAGATGTGGCCTAGTGGTATAGTGCTTGCCTACCATGCATGGGGCCCTGGGTTCAATTCCTCAGCACCACATAAACGGAAAAAGCCGAAAGTAGAGCTGTGACTCAAATGGTAGAGTGCTAGCCTTGAGCAGAAGACTCTCAGGGATAGTGCCCAGGCCCTGAGTTCAAGGCCCAGGACTGGCAAAACAAACAAACAACAACAAGTCACTATTGGAACTCCTTCCTATAGGAAGAAGGAAGTAGGAAAGGAGGAAATGTCTGTGGCTTGTAAGACCACCTCCTAGAGGTAAAACTTTGCATCTGTTTACATTGTGTTGGTCAAACTCAGCCATGTGACTATGTTAGCTACAATGAATGCTGGGAAATGTAGTTTCTTGGTGCTGTGGTTTGAATCCAAGATTAAACATATGTTAAGCACATACTCTGCTATCACTGAGCTACATCCTCAGCCTTGAATTATTTTTTAATTTAATTTTATTGTAAAAATATTGTACAGAGGGGTTACAGTTACATGAGTAAGGTAATGAGTACCTTTCTTGTTAACCAACATTGTTACCCTTTGTTCCCCCCCCCCACTATCTCTTCCTTCCCTTCTCCCCCACTCTCCCACCCAAGTTGTAAAGATCATTTCCAACATAGTGTCCTGTGAGTATCATTGTTACAATGATAAAAATAAGTCCTAGACTTATTCGCCAAGTACTCTAGCACTTGAGCTATACATGCCCTACCTCCCCACCCAGCCTTCTTGTTTCATATTTTTTGTTATTGTTGTTGGTCATGGGGGCTGAACTCTGGGCCTGGGCACTGTCCCTCAGCTCTTCAGCTCAAGGCTAGCGTTCTACCACTTGAGCCACAGTGCCACTTCTGGCTTTTTTCTGCTTATGTGGTGCTGAGGAATCAAACCCAGGGTTTCATGCATGCAAGGCAAGCACTCTACCTCTGAGCCAACTTCCTAGCCCCATATTTTGTTTTTGAAATAGGGTCTTGACTACTTTCCCTGGGCTAGCCTCAAACTTGAGGCCCTCCTGAATCTGTGTCTTGAATAGCTAGGGTCACAGGCATGAGCCACCAGGCCTGGCCTCTGAGATGTACTCTTTAAGTGCAGATTTATGGCAAAGAACCACTGCTGATACAGGAGGTTGTTTAGCTAGGGAAGACAGGGTGTGTTTGTCTATATTCTGTGGCAGTAACAAAGCACCATAGCCTTGGTAAGTTATGAAGAAAGAAAATTTAGTTTGCCTCATGATTCTGGAGGTTCAAGGTCAAGATGCCATATCTGGCGATGGCTTTTTTGCTGACAAGAGTCCTGAGGTACATTGTGTATCATATGATGATAGACAGTGAACACACAGTATGTGAGTCTTCTCTTCTTGTCTTATAAAGCTATCAGGATTCTATCCTGAGGCTCTGCCTTTATGACCTTACTTAACCCTAATCACCCCAAAAGATGCCACCTCTAAGTGCCATTGCTGGTTTAAGTTTACCCTTCTTAGTTCTTCCTGTTAATATAGGAAGCCTTGGGGGCCCCGGAAGCCATACCCAGTCTATGCAGGGGAAGGGAACCTCGAGGACAGTAGACTGGTCCCCAAGACAGAGGCTGCTGGTGTCTGTGGATTTAAAGAAACATGCTATAGGCAGAAGTCTGCCAGGATGAATGAAGGTCTCCATCCACCTCTCCGGGCTTCCCCAAGCCACACTGACCCCATCCCAGGATGAGCCCAACACAGTAGTAGGAGCATAGTAGTCTAGAGCTTTGCTGCTCCAGGTGTGGTCCTGGGGCCATGGCAATCTAGGAACTTGCTGGTAGTATTGCCCTTGGCCCAACTCAGACCCGAGACAGGGTGCCTAAGTTCCCAGGGCACAATGGGCTTCAAGGAGCTCTGGCCAGGGCATAGGTTCGGGAACCAGATCCTACCTGTTGGCTCTGGAATCTGCCCCCTCCTGACTGCCTCATTTTCTGAGTGTGTAAAGGTAGGTGCCACCTCTGATTCTTAGGCTTGTTACAATGATGTGTCCCAAGCCTGGAGGAGAGACAAGGCTTGGCACACTACTGCAGGTGTTGTATAAACCTCAGTGCCTCGGTCATTACTGGGAAGATGGCCACATGTCTGAGCTTTGTGTGGCCTGGGTCTATTTCAAGCAGAACTGGATTAGCTGGGTTGCCCTGAGGTCCACTTTTAGGTACTGCTGACTCTAGCATCCCAGCTTCAAAGGCCCCTGGCTGGCAGAGCTGGGTTGTTTGTGCACCTGTCCCACCTCCCTCTGGCCCACCCCTGCCCCCGGGCCCAGGCACCTGGGAGGGTGAGCAAGTGCACAGCCACTCTGTTTGCTAGAGAGCCTCTGTAAGGACCATCCCTTCCCAGCTGCAGGCACTTAGCATTCCAGGCCCTGCTATGATGCTTTATTGCCTCTTTCTAAGAGCTGGCAGGTGCGGATGTAGTACCTGCTGCTGCCCACAGCTCCTGGCTCTTGGCATCAGAGATGAGAGACCTGTCACCCCTGGATTCATGTGCCAGGCTTGAGAAGCAGGCATGCTGGGGTATTTCTACATTCTGTGGGCCATTTTTCTTTGCTTCATTCCTCATTGTTGTCCCCACTTTCCCCCAGTCTTCCTGACTTCCTAGCAAGATGCTGCTCATCGTGTGTCCTAAGGGCCACTCACAGGAAAGGAGGGAGAGGCAAAGGGGTTTGTTTCTCACTGCCAGCTGCCCTCAGTAGCTGAGGGTCTGCATGTTTGTCCCTTCCCATTCCTTTTAGTATTTCCCTGGGATGGATGTCATTTGGTGGGGAATTTGGCCAGTGAGAATGTTTTGTGACCACATTCCATCTCAGGCTCATTTCTTCCTGCCTGGAACAGATTGGAGGATGGGTTACAACACATCCTGCTTGTCTTGTGGACTCTATTCTCTGGAATGAGGACCTCAAACAAACCCACCACAGGCCTGAGTCAGCCCAGTGGCAAAACCATTACAGCATCAACAAGGAAGACCTGACATGAAAGACAGGCAGGTGAGCTGTAGATGAGCTGTAGGCTGTGGTTTTCTGGCCTACTGACTTCTGCCTGTGGGGCAGGGCTGCTAGGGGTGGGTGGGATGTTGTAGATGTTTCTTGGTTCTTGGATGCAAATGGCTAGGGTTGGGATTCTGTCCTTGGCATGGGGGAAAGAACCATGAAGAGTGGAAAGATAGTGTGAGTGACTGGTTAGCACAAGTGCCCATTGGGAAAAGCTAGACAGTTGGATAAGGACTCACTGACTGCAAGCTGCTGGGGCTTGGGATTTTATCCAGTTTTGGGTGGGGTTACAAGGCATGGAACTAACCTCTTTGAGGCTCCTCCCAAATGCTTTGATGATTGTGTAATGACTGCTTAGGTGTGGGGAGACATCTAGCGGAACATCTCTCTCTGCCCTCTTCCTCTTCCTCTCTCTCCCTCTCTCTCCTTTTCCCTCTCTCTCCCTCTCTCCCTTTCCTTCTCCCTCTCTCCCCCTTCCCTCCCTCCCCTCATACTAGAGTTTAAACTGCTTGCTAGGCACTTGAGCCATGCCTCCAGCCCCTTTTTCCATTGATTGTTTTCAGGGAAGGGTTTTGCTTTATGCCTGGCCAGCCTGGACTGTGCTCCTCCTACTTGTACTTCCCTGTATTGCTGGGGATGACAGGTTCATGCCACTGCACCCAGCCATGGAGTCTCTCAAATATCTTTTCCCTCCTGGTTGGCCTAGAACCACAATCCCCTATCTCCACCTTGCAAATTCCTTGAGCCCCAGCTCCTGGCTTATTCTCTCAGCCTTTTTCATTTAGCTCTGCCAATGGGTAGACATATTAGTCCTTCTGCCCCCAAGTCCAATGTCTGACCTTGGGCAGAGGCCTGTGCTCTCTAAGGATCTGGGGCCATTATCTTAACAGTTGGGCCAGGATGCAGCCATCTCTGGGTTTTAGAATAGAGTCTTGTGGGCCAGGGTGTTTCCTCTTCTTCCTATTACCTACCTAGCCAGTAGTCTTAGTAGTGTGTGTGTGTGTTTGTGTGAGTGTGTGTGTGTGTGTGTGTGTGTGTGTGAGTGTGTGTGTGAGATAGAAAGCCAGAGGCTCAGACAGG